ATATATAGATGTTATATATGAATATAGATATTAGATATAGATATATAGATATTATATATAGATGTTGTATATAGATATAGATATTATATATAGATATAGATATATATAGATATATAGATATATGAAGATATAGATAGATATTATATATATATTATTATATATACATATATATCACACACTCACTCACTCACTCACTCTATGGAATTGAGAAATATTTACATTAAGACTGCAATCACTCTTGGATTACTTCTGGAAGATATTTGCCACCTACCATTATCATGTTTACCATCCATACTTGTTTCTAATTTTTTAAGTGCTTCTTTTTGTCCTTCATCTATTTCAAGAATCATTATTAAGTCATTCATTTATTTATTATAGTTGAAGGGCGTAACGGCGGAGTGAAGGCTGTCCAGCTCACTGCTGAAGGTACACCAGTTGTACTGCTTGCATCAGGAGAAGCCTTCACCAGATGCCATGACCTGGAGGCTTGGCTTTTTTAGGTGATTCTGCCAGTGTACGGCGAGTCCTGCAGCCAGAATACACAATGCTGCCTCCCTGTCATCAAAGTGAATATAAAGCAAGACCTCTTGCTAGTCTCTTGCACCAGACTGCTGCCTAGTAAGTATAAATGTAATGATTTGTGTCAGAGGATAATTTCCTAGCAAGATCCTTTTGAGCATTACTAGATGAACACATACATGATAGTAAAGGTATTATATACCGTTTAAAAGAAGTAATATGTCATATGTACTTTCAGTTCTGGCTCTTCAAGAGTGACAAGACCTCTGATCCCAGATGATGCCAAGCAGAACTTGACTGAGGTCTTCATCAACCGCATGCTGACATCTGCCCAGTATCTCAGAGCAGCCCAGGATTACAAATTTTGGTTGAAACGTAAAATTCAATTCTTCATAAAAGAGGGTAGGTTTTTGTTAGTATTCCATGTTTTTATTTTGAATACTAATTCAGCTTCTCTGTTTTGTAAATTTTTTGAAGTTTGATTGTGAATTTGATATTTTAATTTCTCTTTTTTAAGGGCTTGAAAAGAAATTGCGAGATGTATTTGATGACCTTCTGGGACCGAGACATAGTGGATCTATGGACAATCAAGATCAAAATGGATGGATGCCCAAGATCATGGTGTGTTATTTCAGTAAATTTAAACTACTTACCTACGTGAAATTGAGGAAAGGAAATTGTTCATCAAACAATCATTATGAAATGCAGAAAATTGTATATTTCATGTTTAGTTATCTTTAGGAAGCACTTTTTTTATGTCTTGTATACCAATCATGGTAGTGAAGTTTATTTAAATCATTAGTCTTTCTAATTTTTTTCTGAAACTTTCCAGGACTTTGATAAAAAGAGTCTGCTTGAAGAGTTCCTTCGAGAGATTCTGCTTGCTGAGAACTCCTTGCAGCTACAGAGGCTCTATTCTGAGTATAAGGAACAGCTGGAAGGCAACCTTATAGACACTATTTAATGTAGCATACTTGGGCATACAATTTTGATATAATACTGATATTTCGAGAAGTACTGTAATCTTTATCTCGTGACCAATATCTTGAATTTAGATGCTGTTAGTGCTTATATGTCTTTAGTTGAATTTTAGCCATGGATTTTGTCGTCATGAGTTGTAGAAAGAAATGAAGGCTGACTTCTTATGAGGCACCCCAATATCTTGACAAATTTGGAAATTGATTTTTGTGGATAATTGCTAACCCAAAATCATTACATAAACTTGAGGTAATCAGATAAATAACTCTATGAAGTCAATCTTATTAATTCTACTCCTTTTTAAAAACAGTCCCTGCCTTTTGTATAAATATTGTATTTTAGGGTTTTGTGCATAGTGTTCACATGTGATGACGATAGTAATAAGACTGGCGATTAGAAAGCAGCCATTGCTATATGATAATATACATATTTAAAACTGGTGAATAGCATGAACTAGCAATAAGCCAGCTTAGTTCATGTATTGCTCTATTATGCATATGTTTAACTATAAATTGATGTTATTCAAGACAAAGATCACTGCCAGTGACATCTCTTGCCTTAAACAAGTTTATAAACTCGATAATACTGGCTTTCTTACATTGAGCCAGATATTATGAGGTTGGCTCTGACTACTCAACTGCCAGAAGAACTGTTTCCACTCACTGCCAGATCATATATATATATATAAGAGACCCGGTGTCTGCTACATGGTAGAGCATTAGTTATCAAATAACTGACCTCGTACCTGTAGCTCCTTACCCTCCCTGATGCACTGCCAGTCGTAAAAATGAACTTAAATTAGAAAGTTGGTACATAGGAAGTGTGGGTATGAATGTTTACAATGATGTAAGTTTACCTGTATAATCATGCAATTAAGTGTGAAATTCATGAAAGTTAGCAAGCATAAATGCTAGTGAATGCTGTACATAAGTATTCATTATATTAATGACAATCTTTTTGTGCAGCAAAAAAAAAAAAAAAAAAAAAAGTCAAGCTGTATGAGGTTACCATTTTAGTAATTAATGCATCAGTCATCCATCAGTTCATTTCACTTTCATTTATTTTTGCAAATTACAATCGAAACCATTCCTGTTTTCAGCATCCTGATGTCTTTCATACATAAAAATGAATGGAGTGATTTTTATCCTCTTCCTTCCTTTATTTATTACTTTTTTATTATTACTTTATTTTTTTGATACTTCTTAAAAGGAGAGGAGATTATAATATTAAGTTTTAAACTATACTGAACACTGCCAGCATTATATGAGACATTTGTGATCTTTGTATTTTCTGTAATGCAACATATACAAGGCTTAGTCCTGCACAATTACTGCCAATGATAATTAAGACTGAAGGATAGTAAATGAACAATTTCAAAACAACGTATATTACATATTTACAATATCAACTGCGTTTTACTTTAACAAACCCTGAAATCATAAATGACTTCTATGATTACATAATGATGACAAAGAGCAGTACTTACTCTTTGTGATAAATATACATAGTGAAGTGAACAAGTGTGAAGAAATGACCAAATCATGTTAATCCCATTACAAATCCAAAAAGTTGATGTCCCTCATCTTCAAAATCAAATTAACCTTTTTTCCTGTAACTGATGAGGCATTTAAACACACAAAATACTTGGAAAATACAAAATCTCACCTTAAATGAATTTGGGAATGTTTATATTTTTTCTGGTCTAGTCCTCTGAAATCATGAACATAAATTGCAAGAAAAAATAAGTAAATAAATTATATAGTTCTCAATTACTTACACATTGGATTGTCACACTGAGTAACTTGGTTTCACAAAAAAGGCTCAAAGTACCCTAGTTTAATTATATTTGCACTAGCACTTTCCTAAATATTCCTACAGGTGATGATTGCATCTATAGGTATCTATCAATGTCTTCAAAAAACAAATGTCACTTCAACAACGGAATCCCATACTTTGTAAATATTAGTGCTTATTCCATTTACAACTTCGGTGGAAGCTCTTAATCATTCTTTTCCTGCCTGTAACATTGTGTTCAACCTTTCACAAATTGGAAATTATAACAAATTGACAAATAAAATGTTAGTCACTTTAATCTCACTGAAGGCATTTGTGAACCAGGAATTTATAGAGAATGTTGAATATGTTTGAAAGAAACATAATAATAAATTCTAGCTAGCCATACACAAATCAGTAACAGTTAATGGTTGAATCTTCCTCTGACAGTTAGAACACAGATCTCAAGGTAACAATTAGGATACTGAAAACAAGCTTTTAGTTTATAGAAGAATATCTGTAATTTCCACATACATAATGGTATAAATATTAATTTTCCATTTCAACATCAAAATATCTTTAATCTGTAGGAAATTGCCTAGAAACTATTTCTGCATGTGTATATCACATGTCTTAACTTCTTTCATTAATATGCAGCTTTACATATTAGTAATTTCCAAATAATGACCATAATTATAACATTTTGTTCCAGGGAAAAAATATAGTTGTGCCCATTAACTAAATAATTTACAATTTCTTAAAAAAAAAAAAAAAAAAAAAAAATGCTGCCTAAATTGATTCACTATACAAACTGCTCTGTACTCTGTGCTGACAAATCAAGTATCCTCCAAGCAGCTCTGGAATCCAGCTCTGTCTGGTCTCGACATAACACCCAAACATACTGAACGCGTAGCACTTTGCTTGGATCCCCTTCCACAACCTGAAAAATTTAATAATTATTGATACTAATTTACAAAAAATAAAAGTCCTCAGTGTATCATAAATAAGTATGTGTAAAAGTACTCAAATCGGCCACAGTTTACCTCCCCCTTTTGATTTCGTAGACACATAATCTGTTGCGACTGGAAGGATATGGCGAGAACTGGTCCCTCATCCATTACTTTCCCCATGACCAAGTCCACATTGTCAACATCTAAAACCTGGTTAGAACAACACCTAGTAAATTTTTTTTTAATAATTATATTCACAATCTCACTGAACTATCTTTCATGAACATAAAATCCACAATGGATTAAGTTTATGAATCAAATAAAATTATTTTTTAAGAAGAGGAATGTATACATCAATTCTGAAGAGAAAAATAAATATGACATTAACTCACCTTTGAATCAAATTTGAAACCTAATTGATAAGCTTGCTTTACAGGTGTTGCTAATACAGAAAAGGCTCGCTCATAACACCAGTCCTTAAGGATCTAAGGAGAGAGGAAAAAAAAAAATAATAAAAATAAAAAAATCAAGATGAAAACCTTTACACTTCCAAGATTTTATCTTTGCTATGCATCATACCTGTTTTAAGTACTATCCTTGTTTTGTTCTAATAATTCTAAATACATCTGAAAGTTTCCACACTGCAGTTATATATATCAAAGTTACTGCATCAATAAGATGTAAGTCAGTCGGAGAGACACCTATCAACTTTATAACATTTCTAAGGTTTTAAATCTTCCATCACACTGAAAATACAGAAAACACCCTTCTTCACTATTAATTACATAATAGTATGTAAATAATTTTTAACAAGAAACCTTAAAGAAACCAACCTCTAGATCTGGTCTGATCATAGCTTCTAAAACATTTGGAATCATATCATATTCACATTCTAGAAGAAACCGTTCTTTGTCGAATGTTGGGTCCATTTTGCATATCTCAGTCAAGGCTTCTGAGAGCTCAGTACGCTGGAAGACTCCACCAAATAATTCTGATACCTTTAAAAAGTTCATGAAAAAGTACATTAATCACAAATAAATCAAGCTTCCAAGAGAATAGCTAAATTCATATCATTTTATATATGCCCAAGAAAATAAAAGTTCATTCATGGCAATAGAAAATAACATTCATGTTCAAGTAGCAAAGAAAACTGTTATATTTATGTAGTTTCGTAGATTTTCCATTATATGAAAAAATTTAAACCCTAACATCACAAAATTTTCCAAAATAGGACCACTGTCCTTACCTTATCTTTCACTAGCATTGAAGCACGGACAACTGGATTATCACTCTCATCCAATTTTGTTTTCCATACCAATACTCTGTTAACATATGGGTTATTGTCCTTGAAATTTTGCCAACTTTGAGCAAACTGAGAGTCTTTGTGTAGGACCATACCACTTGCCTCTGTGTTAGCCTGAAAAAAAATATATTTGTTGAACCTAATGATTGCTGTAACTCATTTAAATGCAACTAAAATATATTGTATGGAATATTGAAATATATAATTCAATAAACTCCTATCAAGGTAATTAACCACAATTAAAAAAACTCAAATAAATTAAAGTAAGAAGAAATAAAACAATTCAAATCTTGGAATATATGATTTGACTGAAGATATTATAAAAAAAATATATCATTTTTTCATATTAACTATGATTGGGAGGACTATTACTTATAAATGAAATAATACAGGTTTTGCTGATCTTAATTCTTCTTAGAACAAAGTTATCTCCGTAAGGGCAACTTCCATCCTTGACCAAACATCAAGTCACTACTAATGACTGGAGGAGATACCTGAATGCACAATTAGCTATTGGTTGGTGGAAACCTCACAATGTTTGTTTATCCTGACCAGGTGAATATTATGAATATTCCCTAAACCCTCTTCTTAACATAACTTCTCTTTTTAAAATGATGAATTAGTAAGAATTGTGCTTCTGATTTACTAGTATGTCTTACAAGAAGACTCATACAGCCGATAAAAAAAAAAGAGAGAAAGAAAGAAAGAAAACATGCACATATGAAATCCACAGAATCAGTACTTCTAAAAACACACCTGAATAATCCTCTGTTCTGCTTCAGGGTCTCGTTCTACTCTTTTTCTAAGTTCCCGAGGAGCTCTGTAAACCCTGGCTCCAGCACCACCAAATGTGGAGTGGTCAATCTCTTCTTTCACAGCCTTGGCAGTTTCAGAGATGGTTTTGAATGTCTGGGTCTTGCTTAATTCCTCTCCTTTTTGTGAAATGGTCTGGCTAACCTTTTGTGCCTGCCTTGTTGCCTCTTCAGTCATTTTTGCTGAAAAGAAAATTATATTACCCTTTTCGCACTTCTCCATGGCAAGAATGTCTTGATTCTTTTACACTTACAACCCCTCCATTATTTTTTAAATACAAGCAAAGGAGAAAAATATACGTAGTAATAAAACTATTCTACAATCACTTACAGGCTTTCTGAAGGATTTCTGCCTTCTGAGCTTCTTCAACTGTTTCTGAAACACGTTTCTTCAAGAATTCTAACTGCTGCTTAGCCTTTTTGCTTCCTTCTGCTGTTTCCTCCTCTACAGACTGGTATTTCTCTCTATAAGAGAAGCAATATCTAGTTTTAAATTGGCTACAAATGGAATGTACAGGGTAGATTTTTCCCTGTATGCAGTCCATCTTTATGAGCAAAATTTAAATAAGAAATAGTTTTTTGAAGCCACAAACATAGTTAAAACAAATCAGCAAGTTTAAAACCTAGCTCCCAAAACCTCACCTGGCTTTCTGCAAGGCTTCAGATTTCTCAAGCTTTTCCATATCTTTTCTAAATTCCTTCAAGCTCTCTTTCATCTTCTGATTTCTTGACATTTCTTCTCGGAGATTCTCGATAATTTTCCTAAGAATGTTGGTGGTCTTTGTGGTGGAGGTGGTGCACTGTAAAATCTCTGCAATATATGAACTTCTATTAGGTGTTGAATCTTAAAAGGTTGCTAAGAGAATATATCTATCATGAATATTAACCACACAAAATAAATAATATTAAAATTAGAAAAAAAATTAAAGTTTAATACAAATACATTACAATTTTATTGTACAAAATATGAAGTAAATGAGGATTCTATCTCAACCCTATGATGACAGAGCCAAATTTGGAAATGTGATGCAAATTATGCAACAGTCTAAGACTTTCTAGCTAGGCCTAAGCTATTTACAGCCCGCTTGGCTGTTGTGAGTCATGACTGTAAATACGACACAGGCCATTACGTTATAACAGCTATAACCATACACATCACTGATGGATTAACATCCACTTCCTATTTCTTAAAAAGAAAATGCAGGCTACACAAGCAGAATTAAAGTTAGCCACCTGTAAGGAGTGATTGCTGAGTCCTTGTGTTCCAACTGTGGATGCCAATGCCTGGCACCCAGGAACTCTTCCATTCCATGATGGAGGGTGCCTTCCCTTCACCACCAAACATCTGGAGGATCCCTGTAAAATTCAAATATAAAAAGACTGATAAGTCATGCTGAATCAAATAAAACAACTCTCTGTTCATAAAGCATTCACACAGGTAATGAAGGCTGCATTTGGAAAGTTTTACAATATTTCTGCATTATTCACAAACACAAAAAAGGGATTATGTTCATACTGTCCCAGGCTGAAGTTAAAAAAGTTTCTATTCCCTACAAACTGACAACCTACAGGTAATTCATGAACCTAAGGCCTCAACCTCCTGAATATGAAGTTTTTAAATTGTTATAGAGGCATCAGGCAAAATATTCAAACCACCTCCTATGTGTATGACTTCTATGACAGACATTGGACTGGTTCCCTATCTAATAATCAAGCACCCAGAAGGTTTAAAAGCTCATCTTACTTATGGAGATTTGCTGCCTTTGCCAGAATGCATAAAGCACACCCACCACAGCAACAGCTTGATTCATAGTGATGTTTCTTTGATTAGCAACAGACATCTATTTTTCTCTATCTCTCTGCTGTCTTTATTTCAAACCCTGATAAATTAATAATTTGCATACATTCCTAAATGTGTGTGCTCAATGCCTCAGTGGGCTTGGGTGCCTGAGTAGTTCCCTTGTGCTTTTGGAATTGGAGCCTTTTTAGTGCCACTAATCATTAGGACTCCTTTCATTCATAGCACACAAGGAAGTGGCAATTTACAGGACCTCAAAGGTCCTGTAGATCATTCAACTTGTGCCTTGATCTTTTTTTTTTCTTTTTTTTCTGTATATGAAAAGGTCATTCTTAACCAAATCCAGAATGGTTGGGTTATCATCTAGAACTACAAGTAAAAATCTAATAAAAATCAGTATGTGCACACAAAGCTAGGGCAATTTGAATATGCAACGGACAAAAAGTTGTATTCATCAGTACTATAAATAATCTACAGACACTAATGCTAGCACCACTTATTAAAGGAAAAGCTTTTGGAAAGCACCACTCAAGGCCCCAAATCCACTCAGTGCTCCCAAGTTTTAGCTTTATCTCTTTGTGCATACAGAGGTGAAGGCAATGTTTGTAGGGGGGATACTGACAGGCAGAACCCCCCATGAATCCTCTCTTTGGGCAGTTCAAAAAGGGCACAGCCAGTCACAACAATGTAAATCGTTGAAAAAAGAAAATTGTGACATCAATCAGTAAATGGTATTTGTTATCCACTGTATGCCCACTTTATTAGTAATCTGTGCTAACTTATAAAAAACATGACATTAAGAACTCTGGCTGTGTAAGGGTTTGTGGACTTAGACTCTGAGCAGTTATATGCAGAGGATATTTTCGTTATTTCATAGTAAATATGAGACCAAAGCAGCTTAAACTATATTGTATCCTATTCTACTTCTTCCCCAATCTCAAATGCATTTCATCACTGCACATGAACTTAACATAATAACTTCCCATATATTTGCTTGCATTACATCCTTAACAATCACCTCTGAAACAACAGCTGATCATGAACTCAACCCTGATCAATAAACCCAGTGAGGGTTTAATCCCTTCCTCATCACATGCCACACTACACAACTGCACTTCTATTTCTCCTGATTATTTTCAGGTTTTCATCTTTCTTGTTTTGATTTTTCATTTTTATTGCACGAACCTATGCTGAACGTTTCCCCGAAAATGCAATAAATGTCAAGAATACTGAAGTAGCAATACCAGTTATATTATCTACTTATGCAAGTGAAAATGAGGGTAATTCCTTCAATTAATACAATACCACAGTACTTTATTTTCCATCTTGTTATGAAACAATATCAAAACGAACAAGAATGTCGATCAGTGAACAGGGTGCCAGTATCATAAAGAGAGAGCATACAAAGAGAATAAAATGGGAACTTTACTTAATTCAAATCCCAAAAAGATTTTAAAAGTTTTAAGCTTTTGAAAACTTGCACACGACGAACATTGTATTGGAATTACTCTTTCTGATGCAATGTCGTCGCATTGGAACACACTGTCATCAGAATAAGGTAAATCAAGACATTATTCAACATTTTCAAAAACGAACAAAAAATAAACAAGATCAAACATTCATTCATTCAAAATACGATTCATGGTTTCTTTGAGCCGGTAGCAGACGATACTCAATTTCTCCTCATTTCTAACTTAAATTTACACTCATGCACAACACACAATGCTCCCAATAATCTCCCTAATCCCCTCCAGTCCCTAATCCCCTTAAATTATCCCTAAACAGTGGTGAAAATGCCTACTCACAGAAAAAGGCAAATGTTTCCACGCTCGGGTTATGGAGGCAGCCATTCCTTACGAGAAACTTC